AAACTTTAGATAATAGCAGAAGTGGAGCATTCGAATTTCTCCACGTTTGACTTGTAGCTTGTTTGTGAAGTTGTATAGTCACAGTTTTAAACTCATACGTTTTGTATAAACACAAACAATTAGCTAAACGTGACACAAGAGATAAAAGATGTTTTGTCGAAATCAAAGATTCACATTCTCAATTATTTTAAGATAAAATTACAATACTCCTCGGTTATCAGTGAGTGGTATTTCACTCGATAGGAATTCATGTGATAAACCGTTTTTCATTTTAAGCCATATTGATTGACTTTTTCACTTATTACCTATCGATACCTTACAGTTTAAATGACGGCACTATATTTGCCGACTGTTTAAGTCAACCGTTACAAAATTCTTCAGAAATTTACGAGACTTGACCTTTTACAGAAGCTCATTTAACAGGAAAAAAATCTCAACGATGAAATTTCGTTTTGTTAGATCAGTAAGTGGTTCAAAATAAAAGAAAGTTTATTCTTTGCAGGCGAAACACTGTAAATATATATTAGATATCTTGAAAACTTTTAAACTTTTACGCTAGCAAATGATCAAAAACGAATAAATGATTGAAAAAAAGATACCAAATTCTAGGAAGCTGACTACCACTCATTAAATGTAAAAAAACATTTTTCACCGTAAGTGTATCATTATCCTACTCCACATGGAAGCTCTCTAGGGCTCTCTAAGCCCGGATAAAAGAGGAGGGTTGGCGGCCAGATCCAAACAAAAAAATTTAGTCGCTAAAAAACGCTAACCAGAAAACATAATATTATTATCCCATAGTAAATGATGTATACTTGATTTTAATTGTTGATCACTCGGGAAAGATATTTTCACTACCAGCACAACAAAAGTAATTTTCAATACTCTTTATGAAGTAACTGACCATTATTCAAGTACTATGAACAATGTTTCAATACCTATTGACTGTTGTATTAAGCGAACTATTTATGTATTAGTCAACTGTTTTAACGACGAGCCACTACAAATGCTAAAATGTTTCACAAAGATGGCGTCCTCGTAACAAGCAGTTTTCGAATTCCAATAACTGATAACACTTTTCGATTGGTACTCCAATTGTTTTAATGTTCATAATATGAGTTTGCATGATAACGTCTCATATCTATATTTAAATAATTTGCACAAAGTAGATGTCCACATCTGGAACCTTCAATGACTATGTGAATAATGCTAAACACAACACTGAAAATGAAAACTGTGAAAATTAATTAGAAAACATAAAATTGACGTCATATTTATTAGAAGAAAATCTTAATTCATCCGGAACCTGCAAGGCAAAACACATAATAAACGATGAGGATATACTAGGATAAAAAGACTTATTCTTTTAAACTACTCATAACTATGCTGTTACTAAAAACTTGTCCAACAGTTCCACTGATAATGATTATTGATGTAAATTTGACTGTGCTACTATTAGTTGTAGAGTTGACGACAACTACAATAACCAATGCATAAATAAATAAAAATAATGTTCACAAACTTTGGAAGTTAGAGAAAGTTATGTGAACATCCAGTGAGATTGGTTTCAGGACAAAAAAATTATCAACTGGAGTGAAACATATTTGTAACTACCAATATAGGTAAATAAATTAGTTACCGATTGTGTTGATCATCGTGTGTACATCTTTAAACATCGTTTATGCGCAGTTAAATAAATTTATTAAGACAGTTACCCTCCAAAAACAATGGGTTAATTGAAGGTAGACATTGGATACAGAGTGAGATTAAGCGTTGGCACACGAGACCGAAGATTCCTGGCTCCGATTCCTGCTTGCGGAGTAGTGAACACCTACTGCTGAGCAGTCCTGCACTATAATGAAACCGCTTTTCGGTACTTTCAGGTATTTAATGGTGGTCTAATTTATTCTGGTTCAGGATTTCAATAAAATTTCTTAAGTTTATCAGTTTTCCTGGGATATAACTCCCAATTAAGAATAAATACAGTTATTTCAATAAATTTCATTATGTGCTTTTTCATGTTTACAACACACAAAACGCTAAAATAAACTAGCAATGAACAAAAAATTGTATACGCACAAAATTATCAGAGTAAATATTCTCAACAAAAAAGTCAACACTGCTGGTTATTTTTTTTTAGTATGCACAGTTGTTACTTAGTTTCGTGTGAGAATGTCAATAAATTGTCTTCCCATCATATGCCCTGGTTCACTCTATGAAACGTTTTGTTTTTTCCATTGAAATAAAAAGTTTTAAATTTTGTGAAAATCAAATGACTGACACATAAACAAAAATAGTTAAAGAACCTAGTTTACTGTTCCTTTAGAATTCAAATTTCATGTTATGCAAACATTGTATTATGTAAACACTGTTTAGTGAAGGAATTATTCTAGTAAACGTTGAACTTACGCAAAAAATATATTTTCGTACATATTAAAAGGAATGAAAGACAGTTTAAAAAACATAACACTAGTCTTATATATATACATATGTATATATATATATATATATATAAATTTCTAACAGAAAAGTAAATAATCCAAGTTCACAAGCTTAAATTCATTATGCATGATATAATTTTTTAAAATAATTGCATTTTTTTTTTAAACAAAAAGCATGATAAATTAAAATTAACTAAGCATATGTTGCATTTTGTTTGTAGACAGCCTAGAAAAATCATACACATTTGTTGTTGAAATCAACCAATAAACTGATCAATGCGGAATTCTTTGCTTTCAGATTATATACTAAGAGTTTTCTGGTGTTTTATTTTCTATGGAATTCATCGTAGAATGAAATTAGAATCAGTAATATTTGCAAAACTGGAGAGAAGTAGATGGTATGGCTGTTTCGTTTTAGTATGCAGTTCCATGATATCACTTGGAATTGTGTTCCCATTAATTTAAAAATTAGAGAGCTTTTTAAATTATTTTGTCAGGTACTGCGGTATGTTTTTCACTACAGACTACACTATCGACCTATAAAAATCACTGTATTTAAAGAATATCACCGATAATCCAAAATAATCAGCATCGACCTCGTGACTTCCGAAGGAACTCGGCTTTCATCAAGGAGGCGTCATAATTCTTCTTCCAAATCCCAGGGCAGAGTTGAAATGATTTGAATTACGTTTTATGGTTAGCAGTTATTTTAGCAAGTTAGTTTTTATCTGGTGGGATTGGGTCGCCAGCCCTATGCCCAACCCTCCTCCTTTATCTGGGCTTGGGATTGGCAGTAGCCCCGAAGGGTCTACAGGCGGAGTTAGAATAATCAGTTAACTAGTGCAAAATTATATAGCCATCATGAGCAGTACATAAATTTAAGTACTGTATATTATGAAATCCGATAGCGTAGAAACTGAGAGAAGTGCACTAAAGGACGAAATAGTAAAGACGTGCTAACCATAACACCTTGAAAAAGTCAATGATGATGTCTGTAACATACAACTTTATTTGTACTGATATAGTCTACACAGAAACATGCATCATTTCAATATTTATCGACAGGATAATTAAAATCATTTTCTCAAGGACATATCTGAATAGTTTTAGTTACTAGATCAAGTGTTATCATAAAATATAAAAAGATGTTTTATATTTAGTGAATACTTCTTTGAATATTATTTTTTTTACTAAATGACATACAAATTTCAATTTTTGAGAATCTTTTTATAAAATAAAATACTTTTCATAAATATCAACAGTTATTGACATAAACTCCTCGACTTTGTGTTATTTAAAATGTCATTATTAGTCATGTTTACCTGACTTCTGTGAATAATAATATTTGTTTAACAGCATGAAGCTTGAATTTAATGCAATTATTAGACATTGAATGGTAATGAATAAAATGTTTTTGATTTAGTAATTTTGTTAAAGACTAATTGTAAGAAATACTTTTAAGCATTTACTATTAATTGTGTAACAACATTTGAGATTTCAATCAATATAAATTGTTAGTTCGTTTTGTGTGGATTACCCATTTTTTTCAAGTTTTTTAAGTGCATATTATTCGTTGTACAAAGATTTTTTTCGTATTTTTCCACACTTTGTTTTTCTTCAAGCAACTGAGTATTTCATTTAATTGATTGACATTATGTAAATTTAGTTAGTGCTTACGCCCAATGGTATACATACACAATAGGTACATCGTTCATTCAAGCATTGCCAACTCTTCCCTTCGAGTTAATTTGTTTCAATTAACTTTTGAAGCCCCAATAAGGATCAAAATAGGTATACAAATTGAGGTATTGTTTTATTCTTTTGTTCGAAATGCTAAATTACATTTAAATAAAGAAAAATTTTATTTTTTGTCATCTATTATGTGCTTAAATGTAAAATTAGATTGAATTAGAATTGACCTTAACAGCCGATGAATGAATGAATGAACATTAACTCCTAGCTATTGTTCTCATGTTAATAAACAAAGTTAAAGTGTTTTACACATTCATTAATTGAATTTCTAACGGTTTAAGGTCATGATTTCAAATAAAATCTACAATGATTGTTAATGAAAGATTCAGGGTATACTGATGAACAAGTAGTTTTCTTGTCGCAATATGAGCTTGTAACATATACAGCTAATGCAAATGCACACACCTGTTCTGCAAAAACCAGATGTTCAATTACTGTCATCAATCAATAAAATGTTTCGTCTAAAAGCTTTCAAGTTTGATCAGTAGATAATCACAACATACATTACTAATCTACGAGAAACAGTCCCAAATTTTGTTGAAAATTTAATTTCCATAATACTGATGCTATCTAAAGTAAATGGTCTCACAGTGTATTTTCAATTATATTCGCCTACATTTCTAAAATACACCTAAGAGTAGTACTCATAAAGTCAATTACACAGCATGGTTTCGTTTCCTTGATTGTGACAACTTTTGTGTTATTTAACTAATTTCCTAGCTTTATGTTTATTGGAAACATGCAATCAGTTCCATTTACAATTGGACTTGATTCCCAAAGTTAACAAATAATTAAAAATTTAATCAATTTTGATAACAAAAAAAAACATGAGACTCAGGGATAGATTTCAACAGGATTCATTCAAACCAAATTATAACTCTGACACAATCAGTTTTACCAATTCACAATGGTTACAACAGTTGCTGTTGATTGCGATGCGTTTAAATAATGCTTCCAATATTCATGAAAACATATCATCTCCAGGAAACACCACCAGTACTAATAGCAGCAGCAGCATGCACATTGGTGTGGATAATACAACAACAACAACAACAGAATCAACCACCACTGGTTGTATTATTTTGGAATTGTATGATAAAAATCCTACTTTTCTTTATGATCAAGATGATTTTCATGACATTGATTATTCTGTATTGAAAATGCAAATTATTGTTTGGACACAAAAACATTTAAAACCGGATGATTTATTTATGGATTGGTTTGAAACAGTCAATCGACAAATTTATCAGAATAAAAAAATTCATACTAAAAAAGATCATTTGATTAGTCAAGATAATGAATTATCAATTACTAATGTAACATTTTGTACAGAAAATTTAAGAAAATTAATGATTGGTAATGATCAACAGATTTTCGATGAATTCCATACTTATAATTTAAATCATGACATACAATATGTTAAGAATGAAACAAAATCTGGTAAGTTGTGAAAAATTTATTCTGCTTTGTATCGTTTATACTTAACCTATCTTTATTACAATAGACAAGATTATCATAGCTACATGTTCAGGGCTTTTACCGAGTCAACTACTGACAGATACCGGTCAAAATGTTAGTTTTCACGGGAGATAAACTAGGTATTATCAGAAAGTTAGAATAATAGTAACTGCCAGTTGAAACTTGGCAACAATTTTGATACATTCTTCGATATTTTATTCCATGGAGGTCTTTTTAAGTCATTGTAAACCGATGTGTTTGAAATGGACTTTCAGTTTGAAAGTGTGACACCTCACATATATCTTGTACTTTTATCATTGTTGAGCTTGTATGCGCATGTACACTTGGGCATTACTTGCCACCTACACATATAGTTATTTGACTAGCTGTATCGATTAACAGCTTAAATAATTCGATGTCAATATCGACTATACATATTTGAATTAAATCCGATATTTGTATCGATCATTAAATAATTTGAATCAGAAAAAAATTGTAGCAACGACTCGTGTTCTCTCGTAGCGATCATCAAGATGGAGATATACGGGAAATCGAAGATAACGAAAGTCTAACGCCACAATAAATGGTGAGCCGGACATGCCCAAGCGTACATGTGCATACAAGCTCAACAATGATAAAAGTACAAGATATATGTGAGGCGCTACAAATGTATATGTTGGATTTTCTAAAGAAATGTCTTTGATGTTATGATAAACTTGAGAGATCAAAACAAAAATCAATGCTCACGAATTTTTTCTGTTCTATACGGTGCTAAGAGTAGAAATAAAGCATCCCATCCTTAATCTCAGCTGGTGTTAGTCCTATGGTGAAAAATGTGGATAAACTTCATAAAATATTTCTCAAGGCACACAAAAACAGTTACTTTCCATTTCTGAAAAGAAACTCAAAACACAAGAAAGAATATTGATTAACTTGATACAGATGTGAAAAAATTATGCTATTATGTTAATTAGCTTTTTCTCTCAACATCTATAGAGAATGAAGTTAATATAGGGAGAGTAAATTCAACAATGATGCATAAATAAGATTTAAGTTGTGTCACTGTAATGATTAGTTTCTCAATGTAAAAAGAATTTCATCATATTCTAATAACAAATACTAGCACATGGATCTAGGGCAAAATCATGCAAATAATATCATGTAAGAATTGTTATGCATTTTGCGTTGTTTCAATATGTAAAAATCTAGACCGCTTGCATCTCATCTCAATAATATCTCAGTAATACTTTTCTTATTATTAGATTTGAAGGTCATGTGGGATGTCAATGTTTGCGAACTTGTAAACAGACTGTTTACTGGGACAAAACAACTTTTCAAAGCTATCTAGTTTCAGTGATCGTTTAAGTTATTTGATTTCTTGACGTTACTAATTTTCCATCACATAAGTTTGATAAATAATAATCAAGCTTACAATATTTAGAACTGCTTTTTTTTACAAATTTAATTCTTAACTTTTGTACATCAAACCATAATCTCTATTCACAATGTTATTTGTTCTCATAGATAAATATGGCGGAAATGAAGTGCAAATTTTGGTTGTAATTACTCTTTGTTCTGTACTCATAATCTGCTTTCTGATGGCAGTTGTTTTACGTATTAGGTAAGTAAAATAAGTCTTATAAACCAATGAAGTTATTGTTATCAAATTTCTTATTAAGGAGTTGATCAGATCAAACCCCCGTATTCATACACTAACAAAAATATGCAATAAATCTGCTAATTCGTTAACTTTGTTTGAATTAATATACATGCATGGGAATCATATGCTCTACATTTACATACTGATAAAGATTTTAGTTAAGTTACCGAAAACCTACTAAGCTTAACAGATGAAGACTTCATATCTTATAATGATAAAACAACGGCTCTATTCTCCATTGAGATAGATTTTGAATACATACAATTTCCCTTAGAAGTTACTGATCATATTAAGACCACTCCACACACACCTGGTGAAGTATATTATTAGTAATTTATTCCAGTTCGTCAACAAGATCAAAAAATGCTAACAGTTAAGGAAGAATGATGATGTTCCTAGATGTAACACTATTGTTTTTAGGTGTCTCACTCAAACGCAGTATCAAAAATATCTGTAAAAAACTTAAAGAATAGGAAATAAATGATACAGTTTTCACACATTTGAAATCAAAACTCTACATGTAAATATCTTAACAGTGCTCACTAGTGACTATCTTCGTGAGGGAAATTCTCGGAGTTCTAGTGAGAAGACGTGACCAATGGAGTTCAATTCTGTCGGGTGTAGGCAGTAACTACCAAAGACAAATGGTTGAGGTTGCGCAAAATCCGTAGATCAATCAGAGTTAGACATTAACACCGTTGGATGCCGGCCCAGTGGTCCGAAGGTTAGGCGTCTTCACACAATACCGAAGGTCCCGGGTCCGAATCCTGCAATGTTCAGGAGTCGTGAATACGCACTGCTGATGAGTCCCATACCAGGACGAAACGGACGTCCAGTGCTTCCACGATTCTAATGGTGGTCTAACAATGATTGACTGATGATATCAAATGTGTAAAAACACAAACCTCCAAAACTCTGCCTGAAGATACGATTTTTGTTCATATGATTAAGAGATTGTTACTGAAAGATATTGCGAACGCAAATTTCATATTTCTACAAGAAATATATAAACAAATAGATGCTATCGCGACTGATTCACCATTAGGTTCCGTATTGATTGACTATATTTTTCCAAAGCTGTGATCGCACAAGAACCGGATACATTGTGCAATACTCTAAAAGAGAATGGAAATCTTTCAAATTTCATAAACAAGCATTTAGCCAGGAAAATAATGCATAAGGAAGTGTTAGCTGTGAGCGAAAAGTCTTTGTATATGCTATTACAATTTAGAGATGACGTACTAAGTGTGAGGCTAATGCTAAAGTTGCACAGAGGAAGGAAACTACAATCACTGTTTTATAAATGTCTAACAGATACTCTGAACTTCAGAAATAAATTACTTAGAATGAATATCTCGATCAATATGAAAGAGGGCATTTTTAGTATCAGTGGTACTTTCAGCGGAGTAGATTAAAATGTTCAAAAATGACTGTGTTTTCGTTTTGATGCCTTAAAAGAGTTTTTCTGAAGCCAAAGTTTTCAGCTTACATCAACTATCTAACCAATCTTATGTCCGTGTTGGTGTTTCATTCTCTGAGCTGGATGTTTCGGTTGTGGAGCTCTCATTGTTCTTCTGAAAAACATCATCATCGGAATGAAGTATTTGAATTCCTCTACAGCTCAGAGAACGTGACTCCACTACAATCATCAACTTGAGCAACAAATTTTCGCCACCATCTCAAAATCTTGTGTCTTCTTTTATACTGGAGTTATATCTTTGTAAAACTATCCTCATTTAGACAAAAAACTTTTGGTAATAAAAACGTACTGTGGATGTTTTTGATTATTTTTCAATTTTTTTGATCTTCTTTCTAAATTCACAGAAGCTTTTGTAAACGTCAAAGTGAATCAAGAAAACAAATGCGTAATGATCGTGATTCAGCTATACAAATAAATTTCCCGTATGATGTGAATGAAATACAAGCAGTGGAAAAATTACCTGTACCTAGTACAACATTTGGCAGTAATGTACCTCCTGGACCAGTAACAAAACGTAAAGGTATTTGTAGATACAATCGTATACCACAATCAAGTTATAATTCAATGCAAAGCTATAACAGAGTATTCAATGCCCACACATATCAACCATCTACGGTTTTTGTAATCAACTATCATGACACTGATCATTTCAAAGAATCTCATGATCAATATCCAACAAATAATGTGAGTTCAAAAATAAACAAATAATTTTATTTTCATTGAATTTTTTGGGTATTTTTGAAATGGTGTTCTACAAGTGGATTCTCAAAGTGTGTGACATATATAAAGAGGTATTTTTTTACGCCCATATGTGTACAGTTTAAAGTTGAATGTGCCCATGTTTTGAATGATAAAAGATAATTAGTTGTGAATTCTCATTACTTCTGCCTATATTTTCTTATTTACATCATTTAATTTACTAAGAATAGTACAAGAAGTCATGCTATTAGAGAAAACAAGCTTGAAAATATTTCCTGGTTCTTATCGTTAGTATGTGCAAACATTCACACTGAAATTATCATACCACTGTATCTAAAACATGTAATCAAATCATCGCGGGATTTTTCGCATTTTCGATTTGTTATCTAAACAGCTGAAATAAACAGAAGAAGACAATGTGAAAATTGAGGTAATTGGTTGATTCGTATCTGAACATTGATTACAATAGACGATGATAGACTTACAGAAATGGAAAGTGTTAACAAAAAGATTTTTAACTTTCGAAAATTTCCTAGAGGTCATCAAATAAAATATTTTCCTCATAGCTGATTTTAACTACTGAGCAACGGAGCATGTATTATTTTATAACTATATATTTGTAACCATGTATTCTGAACGAAACTTTCGACAGCAATAGTTTAACAACATATATTTTTTTCTGGAATTACAATTTACATTATAGGATTGTGGAGATTGTTGATTTAGTTTAGAATTAGTGTTAGACCAATATTAGAAACCTGGAAGCACTGGTGAAGCACCGGAAGTACTCAATGTTCAGGCTCAAGACCGAAGGTCTTGAGTTCGATTCCTGCGGGTAGTGGGAGTCTTGGATGCACATCGCTGACAGGTCCCGAACCCAGACAAAACTGTCGTACAGTGCTTCCATATTTCTAGTGGTGGTCTAACATTGATGGTTTGATGATTTCAAAGTTACTATTTATATTTTTGAAAGTAAACTTCTTGAAATTATTTTTATTTAGTCTATGCATTTAATAACCAGGTAGAATAAGTTCATATAGGAAAATTTTTACACATAAAATAAGTAACATGAACAGATAAGTAAAAGAGATTTTAAAATCTATCATAATTTAAATTTGTAAATTTTATTAAATTACACATTTAAAAATTTCATCTTTTTCTTATATTCTCCTACTCTAACAATAACAGGAATTTCATCGTCGATATTTATTACACTCTAAACAATCGGACAATTTGATCCATGCCTCGCCAAATCAAACAATAAATCTCAAATCTACACTAAAACCATTCAAGAACAATGTGGAACATCAAAATAAAATAATCATAAAATCAATGGGACGAAATAATTGTTTGAATAAACCAATTCAACGAACTAATAGTTTTTAATATTTTCTATGATATACTTTTAAATAGTTATTGATAACGTCCATTATTATTTAAAACGAACCAAATTTTTTTTTGTAAACAAAAAGTCTATTTATTTATTTATTGAAAGATGACATTTGATAAGCTGATTTATTGGGTAACTGACTGATCCAAATGACGCGAACACAACATTGTTACATATGATTAATTAGACAATGTAACCAAAATCAATACAACTACACCTAGAATACTATTTAATAGTTTTTAGAGTATGAAATTAAAAAAAAATACTTTGATGATTTAGGTTGAATTATTTTCATTCTGTAAAAAAAATGTTTCTCTTTCTATAAATACAATATTATGTATACTAAAAACATTCCGTTTTGAATAGAATATAATGCAAAAAAAACAACACAGTTTTGACTTATTGATATAATTTATAGTTTTATTATTAAAAAAAAAATATAATTTTTTAAAAAAAATGTTAAGATACAATTGATATGACATGATAATAAATTTAAATTTTAATGTTAAAACGAAATCACTGTGTATCGTAAGATGTAGGACGCGTGAAATAAAATTCTCATTTAAATGATGTTACAGACCAATGTACAATAACTAGAACGGTAATTCGTATTGATCATCGAGCTCTTTGTAATCCAGCAAGCAATCAGAAAATCAAGGTAGAAAATTGATAGTACTCAATTCAACCATGACTGAAAACTCATACAATGATAAATGATATAATACTGACCACACATAAAGACAAGAAATAGTATAATAACGTCATAACTACAGAATAAGTGACAGTGAACTGAGTTATAAGTATGTAATAAATTAACAATACAATCATCTATGACAATGATGCATAAATCATAATAAACATAAAAAACAAGAGAAAATAACATTCTATAATTTATGCATTCAATAATGAAATAACAAAAATGTAAATAATTACTTCAGGTAAAACGGTGCACAAAATCCACTGACTCCATGTTAATAGCTATTCTTTTCTGAAGAACTGTACATGGGTGCATACATGTATTGCATCCACATTCGCACAGAACGACAAATTAGCTAAACAGAACAATCGTTTTTAGATCCTGATGAAAAAAAATTAGACAATTCAGAGTTTTGAACGATTTCCTTTTTCATCGAAAAGCGTATGATATTCTCGTAATCTGATTAAACTCTTAGGGATTCAGAATTTTTCGGTGACTGATTACATGTCACTGTAATCCTTAGATTTTCCGAAAAAATTAGACAAGGCTATAGTAATCTGGTTTTGATATCTGCTGATAATCATTAGGAGACTAAGTGAAAATTAGATTTGGTTATGATTTACTTCATAATTCCTGATTTCGCTTACCATGTAGATCTTAAACCTTTGAAATGTGCGCGACAATAAAAACGCTAGTTTTATGAACACTGATTAAAATATTGAACATAAAGCTACACAGATATGAAAAGTTCGAAATCGTTTTTACACAGCAGTATTAATAATACATGTGATATAAACTGCATTCATCATTCCATTTCAAGTCAGCTTGGTGGCTTTAAATTGCTGAAATGAAAAACCGATATTAAGATTAGAAATAATAAGTCTAGAAAATTTAGTTTACGAAAGTATAGTGATATGCGCTATTTCTTAAATGATTCTGTTAGTAAAACTGTGCTCACTTCTTTGAAAAATGACAATAAATAAACGAACAACATCACACTACCCTACTTTACAGAAATTATAAGTAGCAAATGTTTTAACTCGTGAGTGCATAAAATAAAGAGATCGATGAGGTCTTTCTCTCTGATGGGAAATATAATCATCTTTATGTCATGTTAGCCGACCACGGGTAGTCTACAAGGGATATTCAACTGATGTTTCGTGTTAGTTTACACTTGTTAGCATGGCGTAACTACAATATCGAGGGAGCTGATGCTGACTACCTCTAACTTTCTGACATCTTCACATAGTGTTTACTATATCACGCTACCACTAAGCAACCTTAATGATAGAATTCGTTCAGTACTTAGTTAATTAAGATAAACCTAATATTAAGAACCAATCAGTGATCACTTAATTGTGTATATTTGAGTTTGACTTTCACTGTGTTAATGACTAATTAAAATTATCAGTATTCCTATTCTTAGCAACATTTTTTTATATTTTAGAAAACTAAATTTTCTATATATAAATATGAATCTAAATAAAATGCAATGCATTGTTGGAAACTTTTTCTTTGCATAATCAATAGTTTATCCCTAACTGTATAATCCCTTGTGAATTTCAGACATTTGCAGCTGTTTAGTGTTTTGAACCTAGAAAGATTTATTTAATTTTATCCCAAAAAAAAATTTTTATTGTTCTTATTAGATTTAAAATTAGCAAGTATACTGGATGTATGAAATTATTCATTTTTCAAAAACCATCTTCATACTAAGACCATGTGTTGATATCATTCAAGAAAAAGGTAATTCAAATAAATGAAGATGTCAAATTAGATTGAAGTTATTCAGCTGAAATACTAATAATCTATTTTAGATGATACGACAACAACAGCTGGAAATAAAAGTAGAAAAATAGAGTTAGGAAGAAACTATGAATTAGAAATTTTAATCGTCCTAAATTCCACCTATTGAACATCGGTTAACGAAATTAATCTGAAGGTGATCAAACCATGTTCAATCATTTTAAACAAATTGCTGACAGGCAAATCGAGATTGAAGTAGCAGGATAATGTTACTTACTAACTAGCTTTCTATCAAGGCTGCACAATAATATATACATATCGGGATAGTTTAATTCACTTACTACTAAGCACCAACTTTCATTGTAAAGTTAATCATTATAAGTGTGAAAATTAATTATACATGTAAACTATTCAAGGAAGTAATATGTGCAAGCAAGTACACTTCACTGAGCTAAACAGAATCATTTTCTCAAACTGTATCATATTTTTTTAACAAGAATAATGTTATTTTTCAACTAAACGATAAGTAATTTGACTATTGAACACAACAAACTGAAATAAAACAGAAGACAAGTAAAAGCGTTTGGTGGTTATTTTGTTTTCCACCCAGTTCAGTGATATACAGACGTCACTTCACAAGGAAGTGTTTTACTTTTGATCCATTGAACTATATATACTGAGCCATTATTCTACAGATGCACTAAAGTTGTTATGAAGGACTATCCTTAAATATTAACGGGTCATTTACTACGCTTGACTTAATTAACTTTAGTATTTCATTTTTACACAAGCTTTCGAGGGCATGCGATTAAGACATCAGCAGTTAGTATAAGTTATTTGGTGTTAGAATACAAAATATTGTTCAAAGGCAAACTATTTAAACTGTTCTTGATGAATTCATATTGTAATGCCGATTTACATTGCAATAAAAATCATGAAACTTTAATATAATGGCATTTTTTAGCTGCTGTACAACAAAGTTCTTTGTGCTTAACTGCTTGACGAATGAGCAATTTTAGCTTTAAAGACAAAAGCTGTGAGGTAAAAATGCAAACACTTCAGAAAATATTAACGAATCAATTACGAAAGTAGTAGTTCATGTGTATGTACTCAAAAGCAAAAGGAAAACAGTACATCTCATTCAATACTAATTTTATTTATTTGCCATACGCAACTAATATCATATTCATAGATGAACTATAATATAATAAAGAAATCAAATCATACATCTTAAATGTTTCCTTAGTGAAAATACAAAGTTTACATAATGTCGTTACATTGGACGATGCAATTATTAGCTGCACTGCGGGGTTGTTGTGAAGATTGTTAAGTTTTATTAGTGTTTAAATACAACTCCAATATAAAGAGATGTATTAGCGTTTGTAGGTTTTAAATGGTGTTGTTTCGTGATGTCAGTAGTATTATATATGTATACATATATCTGCTGAGCAAAAGTATTCGTAACTATTTGTACACCTTACTTATTAACATGCGAAAGAATAATATAATTTACATTATAAAAGATCATACAAATGAAATCAACTTAGAATATGAGTGATTTTAGCTTCTAAATAACATGAAAACATAACATAATAAACTTTCATTACGGGGTTGTGATGATTGTTAAGTTACACATTTTTGAAACCCTGAATCGATCAATGCTATACCACCATTAGAAACCTGGAAGCACTGGACGGCCGTTTCGCCCTGGTATGGGACTTCTCAGCAGTGCGTATCCACGACTCCGAATTCGAGCCCAGGACCTTCGGTACTGTGTGCGAACGCCTAACCACTAGACCACTGAGCCGGTATCTAACGGTGTTATTGTCTAACTTGATCAATTCACAGAGTTGCGCAACCTCATACACAGTCTTCGGTAGTTACTGTCTACACCCGAACAGGTTGAACTTCACTGGTCAAGACTTCCCACTGGAACTTTGAAAGTATAACAATAAGTTTACTTAAGTTTGCTTTTATAGTGTGTTATGATAATTTACTAAAAGAATACCTAGTTTCGTTTGTACAAAATATAAATAAAAATGTTTTTGTGATAATCCAAATACACGCAAGCAATCATTCATCAATTCACACGTGAAAGGTTTTGGAAATAAATTAAACATAAATAATTTACACTGGAGCCAAAACGAGTTTTGAAGTATTGAAAAGAAATATTTATGTTATAGTTTATGGATGCGCATATATCAAACGTTATAACGGTAATACTTGTCAGCTTCCGTAATAAAAATGTTTATTATAATAACTCTGATAAACTCTTTTAACTTGATGTTGTAAATGAATAGAAGTTCTGTAAACTAGATTTTGTAAGTTGACAATATCAGTAGAACAATGATTATAAATATTCCAGGTTAAAACTAAATCACACACTTCTACAAAACCATCAAGTCCTTATGTGAAATGTTGAGGAAAGATTTGAGTGATTGCTTTAACAGTGTAATTTTTGTTTGTATATCTGTTGAGATGGTTAAGAAAATTGATAGCTCAGGTGGATGATTGTGGTGGTGTTTCGTTCTCTGAGCTGCATGCTTGGTTGTG